TGCGTCTCCCTCCCTCCCACCCTCCCTATCCCACCCCTCCAGGCGGTCACAAAGCACCGAGCTGATCTCCCTGTGCTATGTGGCTGCTTCCCACTAGCTATCTACCTTACGTTTGGTTGTGTATATATGTCCAGGCCTCTCTCTCGCTTTGTCACAGCTCACCCTTCTCCCTCTCCATCTTAATGGATTTTTATAAATGGTATAGTAACCTCCTTTTAGGACCTCGCTCACTGGAGATTTGAATATGTTTTCTAAGATCTGTTTATATTTAAATCTTTATTTCCTTGTGCAAATCAGCAGTTTTCAAGTCTGTCGGTAGGAAAAAAAACAAAACCCATAACTGGGAAGAAGTAAGATGATCAGACATGTCAAAGATTAAAAGGTTTTATTTAGGAGCAGGAACTGGAAAGGAGTTTCCTGTAATTATGTGACTTAGTGTTACCTGAATGCAGTATACTTTTGGGTTGAGACATGGCGAATGAGAATGTTTGCTTTTAGTTTTGTGTCCCATATGACTTATATTTCAGATTCTTGAAGGTTGAGGATTTGTTAAAATGGTTTAACCCAAATATGCATCAGGAATGTCCTTCATTCAGTTATACATCAGTAAAAATTTTTGTTTTGTCATTTGCATTTTTCTTGAATAATTTTTTTTCTTCTCTTAAATCTGTTTTGAAACCTAGTAATTTATTCATTTTTCAAATTTTATTGCAGTGCCTGATCAACTTTCTAGCAGGAGAACGATCATGGAGGTGGTGCCAGCTGAGGTGAATAGTTTGCTTCCAGAGGAGATAATGGACACTGGTATAACTTTAGTGGATGATGATAGTATTGAGGCTGTTATTGTTTCATCCCCAATTCCCATGGAGACAGAACTGGAAGAAATTGTCAACATAAATTCTACTGGTGACTCTACAGCCACGCCCATTTCCACGGAACCAATAACAGTGTACAGTAACCACACTAACCAAGTTGCAGTGAATACCACAATTACTAAAGCAGATTGTAATACCACGGTGAAACCAGCTTTTCCAAGTGGCCTTCAAAAACTTGGTGCTCAGACTCCTGTGACTATATCAGCCAATCAGATTATTTTAAACAAAGTATCACAGACATCTGATCTTAAACTTGGCAATCAGACCCTTAAACCAGATGGACAGAAGTTAATTTTAACAACTTTGGGCAAGTCTGGTTCACCAATTGTTTTAGCACTACCCCATAGCCAACCCCAGGCTCAGAAAGTTACAACTCAGGCCCAGTCAGGAGATGCTAAGTTACCACCGCAGCAAATTAAAGTAGTTACCATTGGAGGGAGGCCAGAGGTGAAACCTGTCATTGGTGTCTCAGCATTGACCCCAGGAAGTCAACTGATTAATACTACAACTCAGCCCTCTGTGTTACAGACCCAACAGTTAAAAACAGTACAGGTAAAAAAAAAAAAAAAAAAAAAAAAGGGCGCTTACTAATTAAAATGCATGTTAAATATTAAATTGATTCATAGTTGCGTGTGTAGGGTGATTAAATGCATAGTTGTTACTGAATTCTTTTGAATGTTGCTTTTAGTAATTGTGTGGGGTTTTTTGTAAAGTCTGATATGTCTAATGCTTTTGAAAATTTCTGCCAGAGAACTTAGAACTTAATTTTGGTTAAATTCCAATTTAGTGTATTTATAGCCTTTTACTCATTTTAAAACAATTTTATTCTCAGTAGTAGTTTGAGTACAAGGATGTTCTGCTGGTATAAAGATGCCAGAGTTGATGTCAGGCTGTCAAAAAAATCATTCAGACATGATATTTTCAGCTAACAGATGGCCAAAGTCTAGGAAAATTTGCTGCTCTGAGAAACCCTTCAAGCTAGCAGTAGTGCATACCAGCCAGTGTGTGCCTCTTCTTTGAAATTTACTGTCCATCGCATCGCTCATGTTTGCAATGTAGAAAGGCAGTGCCATGTGATGGAAGGTTTAGAATTGGACCAACTGGATTTCAGTCTCTTCTCTGCTGCCCTCCCAGCTGCAGAACTTTGGATAGGCTACTTATTTTCTCTGAGTTTTTGATTTTAGCTGTAAGATGGCTATTTGATCATGATGAAACACATAAGAAAAGATAACTCTTTGGTATGGTTCTCAAAACATTGAGAATCCTTCAAAATGGTACCCATTGTTAGTATGAATAGGACCCTAAGATAGAAGGTTATCAGAACATATGTTAAGTGGTTCCCCATTTTTTCATGCCCAATAGGCCTTTTTAGGTCACCACTGCTCTTAGAAATACAATGATCCACTTAAGACCAGGGAACACAAATGCATTTCCTGTTTGAAAGAGTTGGCTTTTAGAAAGAAGGCATGAGTTAGAGAAATAAAGCAGGTGTATAAGGAAGGAGGAAGGTTTGGGGAACTGTCCACTCTCAGCTGATATTAGAAATAATGTTTTGGTTATTATGTTGGCAAAATAGTTGGAAACTTATTTTTCACAGGCTTTTTATTTAAGAACTTCATAAGATTTCTCAAACTTTATAATTTGTCCATGTCCCTTCTGCCACTATTAAACATTTAGTGCTCTTTCTTGTTCATTATCATCTCTCACTTAATTCTGACTTCCTTTTACTTTTTTTGGTGAGGATCTCTTGAATGAAATATCCTATCACCATCCAGCACCTTGTCCTCAGCTTGTTTTTTAATCAGTTTTAAAACTTGTTTTTATTGGTTTACCAGAGTTTATCTGGCTTTGGGGATATATGGATCATAACCATGTTCTCAAGATACTGAAAATGTAAATCAGAATGTCATTTTTTTTTTTTCATTTACAAGAGCAATGTATACATACTATTTGTAAGACCAGTTCACTTGTATCCACTAGTTTTCTACTATAATCCCCTAAGTACCAACAATAAAAACAAAGACTGGGGTCTAATTCTTATAACTTCTCTTCTTGTCCTTACTTTTATAAAATCTGATTCTATTTACTTAAAAAGAACTTGTATTTAAAAACAAAAACAAGGGCTTACCTGGTGGCACAGTGGTTGAGAGTCCGCCTGCCGATGCAGGGGACACGGGTTCATGCCCCGGTCCGGGAGGATCCCACATGCCGCGGAGCGGCAGGGCCCGTGAGCCATGACCACTGAGCCTGCGCGTCCAGAGCCTGTGCTCCGCAAAGGGAGAGGCCACAACAGTGAGAGGCCCGCGTACTGTAAAATAAATAATAAATAAATAAATAAATAAATAAAAACAAAAACAAAAGAAACCCCATTTAGAATATTGTTCTACTTGTCCAGTTATTTTTAGGCAACTCAAATCTTTTCAACTCAAGAGTAGCCTATAAAGCTCTGAAGCACTGAAGCACAGAAAAAACAAACAAAAAGCTACACATCTATCTGTATCCATTTTAGGCAACAGAATATTTGGTTTACTTTTACATGGTGTGTATGATCCCCTGATTTTTTCCCCAGACGGTTCTCAGCATTGTCTTAAGTTTAATCAGAGTATTGAAACTTATTAGGGTGTGGACAATAGGAAAGGGTGGAAGAAGGAGACCCATCTCCAAAGGTGACAGTTGAGGCCAGAGGCAGTAACAAAGAGGTGTAGTTACACTTAGTTACAGATACATAAACACTTTCCTGTGTTTCTTGTGCACAGTATATAAGAATAATAGGTAATTAGCCGTATGGAACAACATAACTCCTTATTAGTTCCTGAATCTGTATAACACAGTGCCCAAAATTACCTGCATGTATTATTTGATCACATCTTTGGCAGTCTTATTTGTAAATTTCCTTCTTTGATTCATTTTTGTCTTAATCTGCTAATTAGATACATTTGTTAAAAAATGATCCTTTGGGCTTCCCTGGTGGCTCAGTGGTTGAGGGTCCACCTGCCGATGCAGGGGACACGGGTTCATGCCCTGGTCTGGGAAGATCCCACATGCCACGGAGCGGCTGGGCCCGTGAGCCATGGCCGCTGAGCCTGCACGTCCGGGGCCTGTGCTTCGCAACGGGAGAGGCCACAACAGTGAGAGGCCCGCATACTGCAAAAAAAATAAATAAATAAATAAAAAAGATCCTTTATGCTCTGTTTTATTTAATAAAGTAAATTTGTTCTAGGGTAGTTTAGAATTCATAATGCAAAAAGCCTGGTTCCTTGACAGAATTGGAAATCCTTATTTTCAGCAATGCTACACTAAAGAAACAACCACAAGGACAAGTTGAGATTGTTCCTTTGAATAATTAATGTGCTCTTGGTCGTATTTACATTTTTTTCCTGGTTGGTAAGTATTCATATAGTTTTATGATTGTGAAAATTAGTTAAAAATGGGGAAACACTTTAAGTTCCCAAACTCTATAGCTAAGATTATCTATTTCGAGACACAGATTTCCGAGAATATCAATACCTCTACCTCTTGAGATTCTTAATACTAAGTTAATAGACAACATATTCTAACTTATTTTAGAGTTTTAGGCCTGTAAATACACTTGGGAAATATTTTCTCTGTGTGTCTCCCAAATTGCATCAGTTTTTAAAACTACAATTATGGATTTATTTGGGTATATCAGAGTTTTACAAGCTGGATATTTTTTAATATAGTAGGGAATCTCTTTGGTTCGTTTTTTTAAAAGGTGATTTGTGTTTCCTTTATATTTTGTTTTGTCAGTAATATGTTCTGAGTGTAAGAAAGTAATATATTCTAAGTGTAAGAAAATATGTTATTAAGTTTAATTTATAGTTTGAGCACAAAGCTGATATTTACTTAATTCTGTAATCAGTTACAGCTTCTGGTATGTTTTGTCGTTTAAGTTGGTCATGTTTGTTCATTTTGAGTTATTATTTCCAATAATAGTACTTTCAGGGCCTCAATTTTCAATCTGCCAAAGATAAAATTAGTATTTAATGTCCTTCCTGCTCTGAAAGTCCATGATTTTTTATCATTGCTAAATTTCTGCTTCTGACTTTTAGAAAAAGCTGTGCCTTGCATACATTGCAATTTCAGTATAAGAACATTGGTAACTGCCTTCCTTGACTTGTGGAGAATTTTAGTTTAGGGCAACAGTGTTCCGTGTATAATGTAAAAGCAGAGATGAATAAAACATAGACCCTCCCTTCAAACAATTTATAGTCTAGTAAAGTGTATTTTAGTAAATAATATTTCAGAGGCTTCACCTTTAGAATAGTCTGTGTTTTGCCAAACATGTCTCTTTGTATCCTAGGGTGTTAACTTGTGCAGTTCCTTATTTATCCGCCCCTGATATATAGCTCTAAAGTTGACGATATAATCATGAGCCTATCTTTTATGTGTATTTATATTTTGCTTCCAGGGGCCAATGAAATTATATTTATCATTTTTACTATGCTTTCTTAACGTACTCTACTCCATCTTTTTATTATTGAATAATTAGCTATTTGGAAAAGGATATTGCTGTGCCATATTTGTGTTTCATTATTATTATTAAATGGTTATTTTAAACATTACTATTGAACATTAAACATTATTTTTACAAATTAATTTGTTTTTCATTATATGCATATGTCCCAGAGACTAAAATAAGGATTTGCAATAAAATCCAAAGGTATTGTTGTATAATGGCTTAAGGATGTGATCATATTAGTATTTTGATGAATGGCTGCATTTTAAATGTTTTTAACGTCAGTGCTTAGATATGTTTTATTAAATGAGCTGGTTTCACATGTACTTCTGTATATCAATCTTGTCTAATTTTGGTTGAATAGGTGTTTTATAGAAACAATGGTCTTTATAGTTATTTATATATTTCAGATTGCGAAGAAACCTCGAACTCCAACCTCTGGTCCAGTAATCACGAAGCTGATCTTTGCAAAACCAATTAATAGTAAAGCAGTTACAGGACAGACAACTCAAGTATCACCACCAGTCATTGCAGGTTATATTTCTTTATAGTTTGTTTAGCTAAATATTTACCTTCCTTTTAGGTTTAAAAAAGGCTGTTCTACTACCTTGAAATGTTTTAGTGCTTATTACTGTAAATCAAACTGGTTAGTAAGAAATGTTACACCTATTAAATGTGTCCTTCAAGCAAAATGCCTTATCTCAAAATCAGTCCATTACTTTAGCCTCTTTGGTTTTTGGTATACCTTGAAAGTAGTGAAGTCTCAGACTCTGATGATACTAGCTAACATTTACATAGTGTTTGCTACAGCCTCCGCACTATTCTTAGGTCTTTACATAGAGTGACATATATAATCCTCTGGCAATCCTATGCGGTAGGTACTAATAACACCCCATTTTGCCAGTGTGGAAACAGAGGCACTCAGCTAGTAAATGGCCAAGTTGGAATTTGAATCCAGCTAATGCTAGAGCACATGCTAATAAGTCTGTTAGGTTTAAAGTAATATATGTGAGCGTATAGTATTCCATGGTTTCTGTTTGAATTTTTGGTTTCCGTATTTTAATATTCTCTGTATGTAGTTCTCTATGAAACAGAAAATTATCACAATGATAATAATTACTTAAGTGAGAACAGAATTTTAGTTATATTACTTTTACCAGTAAATTCCTCAGCGTGGCCCAATTCTTTTATTATATACTTTTAAGATACGTCATCACTAATAACACCTCAGAAATCTTGACTTTGAGTATTTCACTCTTTATTATTCTAGTTGATCTGCCTTTGTACTTCCAATCTAGTAATTCTTTCACTTTGAAATCTCTGATCCATTAACTCTTCCACTTTCTCATTACTAATCCCTTTCCAGTCCTCAAATTCTTCCTTACTCAGCATGGAGTTCATGACCCATCACTATTGCTCCCTGAAAACACCATTGATTCTCTTTTCACTCTCTCTTTCTATAATGGATTGGTTAAGTCCAGCTCTCTTATTTCTTCTTGCCTGGCAAGCACCTCAGTACTTCTGGAGAAAATCACATAGCTGTGGTGACTGGTCTTTAATTCAGAGCTATACTAACATTACTCCTTTCACCATTTAGGAGCTCATTTTAAATTTCCATTGTTCTAATAGCTTATGGAAGCACCTCTGGATGGTAGACTTTGACTAGAGACTTTCAAATGCTAATTACCCATTTCTAGAATGTGTATTCTTTATGAAGGTATTTCAAATGTTAATTAACCATCCCTGGGATATGTATTAAAACCACCTCCTACTGTCTTTGATAAATTTACAGAGAGTATAGCAGTAGGCAACTCTGAAATCAGTGGCTGTGAAATGATCATTTTCCTAGGCTTTGAATTATAATATATAGGGAGGCTTCTCTGTTTAGCAAGTGAGAGAAGGAATGGGGAGATTGTAGTTTGAGGGCAGTGTTGGGTGAGTGAATGTTCTCTTTTTCTTTTGGCCTTCAGTAGAGATTTGGGATGGTTATAGGATACTCATATCTAGAGGGCTGTCATGGGAGATAGGTGTGGCCCCAGAGGAAAAACTGGAAAGGGTTTGGATTTCGAGCTGCTTCAGGAAGTGGGCTTTAGTTGGCTGAAAGTGAGGAAGGCTTGGATATGTTGATGATAAAGGGACCACCAGACCCTTAGGAGGTTGGGTGAGTAGAGGTGGTTAACGAGGAGGGGTGTCTCAGTGCCATGTTCTCTACTGCTTTTGAGTTTGAGAGAGTCCCTTAAAACTTTTAATTATGTAGGGGCGAAGGGGAGCTGTATGCTAAAGAATTGTGGTTTTGCAGAAGTGTCTGAGTGAATATTTGGTAATGTCAAGATTTCACCTCTCTTACATTTGACTATAATGGATGTCATTGCTGGGTCTTTGGGTGATTTACAGTGTGTTGCACACTAATCATAGCTTCACCTTTTAATTACAGACAGACTTATTAGCCCTCCCAAAATACATAGAGATAGACTTCTATTAAATTTCACTAGAATTGTTGGCATTAAGTTCAGTTTGGAGGGATAATTTCTACTGTTAACTAGTAGTTTGTAGCTTTTTAAATTCATGTAAGCCAAATTTTAAACCACCAAAGTAGCTCTCCTGCTCTGGGCTGTTGAAGACGTGGTTCCTAGGTCCAGTCCAATCAAATTAGCCTCGGCTGAAAGGATCTTTCAAATTACATTTAGACTGCTTTTTAATGACCTTTGGGCTTTTCATGGAAGATGGATATCTTTTTCTGTCTTTTAATCAAGATGAACTTAGTGTTTGTATAAAATCAATTTTTCTAAAATGCAAATATGATCTTGTCACACCCTTGCTTAAATTTTCTTGGCCACATCCATTTCTTGGCCTTAATCCTTCAGGAATAAGTTCAAATGCCAGAGCTTTATTAGCATTAAAGTCATTTATTATATAACATATACCTTTTTCATTTTCACCTTGTATTAGCTCCAGACCTACTGGTGTAACTTATTTCAAGAGATCACCAAATGGCCCATGTTCTCTCAGAACTTAGGCCCTTGGCACTGTTGCTTTTACCTGAAATGACTTTTTTTGCTTTCCTTATGGCTGACTCATCCATTTGATCTTTGGATTATCTCCACCTGTCTTGGAAGTTTTTGATCCCTAGGTTTAGTTAGGTTCTCTTTTCTCTGACCATCTCCTATATATTTCCATAAAACTTGGTTATACCTACCAAATACTTAACTTAAATCAGACTTCTGTTAAATTTCACACTGGCTTTTAATGTTTCCATTAGTCATGGTATATTGTAATACTTGGTTTCCTTGTCTGTCTGTCTCCCCTATTGTCTGTCTGTCTCCCCTATTACACTTAAAATTTTTCTTAATAGTAATTTTGGATTTTGTTTGCCATCTAGTTTTTAAAGATTAATTGTTTTTTAAAAAATTATGATAAATACACATAACATAAAGTTGACCATTTTAACCACTGGTGGCGTTAAGTACATTCACGTTGTTGTGCAACCATCACCACTGTCCGTCTCTAGGACTTTTTTCACATTGCAAAGCTAAATCTTTGTACGCATTAAACAATAACTTCCCAATTCCTTCCTTCCCCCAGCCCCTAGCAGAGACTGTCTCTATCAATTTGACTTTTCCATGTATCTCATATAAGTGGAATCGTACAGTATTTGTCCTTTTATGACTGGCTTTTTATGACTCTCCGATACCTAGCACAGTTTCTAGCACATAGATGTGGTTCGGTGAATGTGTATTGTTGAGTGAATATGTGTATCACAGAGGCAGTGTGGTGTATGGGAGGAGCTATTAGGAGACTTGGGTTTTAGTTATGGGTCTTCTGTTCATTTTCCCTGTGATCTTGGGTAAATATATTTTCTGTTCATCTTACTCCTTTCTGTAAAATGTTGATACCAACCACATGACTTTTGAGATGGTTAAATGAGGTACAGAGGTCCTCATTATCAGAGCTCCCAAGGTACAAGGTTGCTGCTATAGCAGAGTAAACTCCATCAATGTGAAAATATTCACTGATGAATTAATCTCTTATAGAATTAGTCCTGGCTCAGATAAGCTAACTCTCTGCCCCCAGCCTGTCCCATCTGTAGCTTTTTGGTTATGTCTCTTTTGTTTCTTGGAGAATACCTGACAGTAGAGTGTAAAATGCTTTGCAAATTGATTTCAGGGTGAAATTGTATAACTTGTATACTTTCTTGAATCTGTCTGCAGAGTCAAGGATAAACAGGGATTTGGAGATTAATCAGGAGAAATGCTATCTGGATGAAAAACAAGTGGCCCTTCAAAAAAGAATAATTTGAATTTTAAAGGATATAGAGGGTTCTTGGGAAAATTGATGAAATCCTAAAATATTTTGGCAGAAATAATCTTCTGTATCATCCTGTTGCGCCCATCAAACAGAGTCTGTCATTGTAATGTCATTACTAATTTTCAGAAGAATTCTCTCCCCCTCAAATTAAACAGTTCATTCTAAGAGATAGTATAGTTGTAATTATAAACTGAATTTTTGTTAAATATAAGCAAAAAAAGTTTTAGTTTTAGGGGTTTTTGTTGTTGTTATTTACAGTGAAATTTTTGTCCTTGTTTTAAATGTAATTCACTTTAACTGGCCTTTTTCTGGTATCAGTTATCCTCACTCAGGAATAGAGGATTTTTATATGTATGTTTTCTGAAATGTATGTAATGCTTAACAAATAAGAAATTATAGTAATAACTGTAAATGATGATCATTTTATGAAAATGTGTCTTTATTGGTAGTTTCTTTTCTTAAAATAATGGTTGTTGGGGCTTTAGGCTTATCCCAGAGGTATTAGTTTTGGAAACCAGAACAGACAAACATGCTACTTCAGGCAGGCTCCACATTTGAGGGTGCCCTTCTAAAAATATTTGATATAGATTCATTTAGTTTATATAGAATTGACTTATTTAGTTATGATGTAATTCAGCCTAAAAAAACCCTAGCAAAACTCTCAACTGGAATTCATTAAGGAATATGTCAATAATATAAAATGTAATCGTGTACTAAAAGAAATTGAAAAAATATATTTAAAATATTTTAAAAATTCATGTGTCAGACAAAACTTGATTCATCTTTAAAAAAAAATACGTATACTGTCACAGTGTTATTAGAAAAAAAAACAGCCCTGAAACTCTTACATGCTAGTTCTCTATTTTTGTTTGAAGGGTAAGACCCTTCTTTTTTTTCTCTTTTTCCCTTTTTCTCTTCCTCTCTCCCTCTCTCTTTCATCTCTAACTGTATCTGTAAGTTAAATCATAGCATCTAAAGGGATTTTAGAGATAATTTAGTTATCTACCTTCTCTATTTCTTGAGTGCTTTGGAGTTCCTCTTCAGCCAGTGGATTTGATTATCCAGCATCTGTTTTGAACACCTTCAGTGAGTAGAAACTCACTCATATAGAAACAGTCGTTTCAATTGGAAATTTTGTTAGAAGTTCTTTCTTACTGCTTAACTGAAAATTTTCTGTTTCTGTATATTAGTGTGTGCATCTGATGGATACAGAGTGGTTCTAATCCTTCAACTTGACAGCGTGGATCATTCAGGACAGTCTTGGTTCTCTGCCATAATAAACAGTCTTTAAATCTCAGAAATTTAAGGAAACACAAATTTTATTTTGTATTCATACTTCATGGTTATCTACATGTCTACTGTGGGTTAGAAAGGGGGCTTTTCTCATCATGGTCATTCAAGGACCCCAGCTGATGGAGGAGCCACCATCTCAGACGCGGTGAGGAAAAGAGAGCTTTAGAAGGTCTTGCATAGGCAGTAAATGTTCTGACCCACAAATGACACACATCACTTCTACTCATAATTTGTTGGTCAGAACCAGTCATATGGCCCTAATCTAACCACAGGGAGCCGCAGGGACGGGTAGGAAGGGCAGTCCTGCCATGTGCCCAGAATGGAAGGGGAGGAGGTCGGTGCCAGAATGCTGAATGGCAGCATCACACAGTCTTTCAGGAATTTGGAGCTGTGTCATGTCTTTGTATTCCTCTCTCACCTAGGACAAAAATTCCTAATATTTCAACTCCTTGTGATATAATTTCCAATTCCGTAAGCCATCCAGACACACTATAGTTTTTCTGTTTTGCTCCTGAAGGGTATTTCCAGAAGGGAACACAGCATTCTTGTTGGAATCTGGCCAGGACAGCTAGAAGAATTTTTTTTCCCCCTTTTTGGCAGACTAAAATGAGACAGTATTAAACCAGTGTTCAAGTTAGTTCAGTGACTATCTGTTTCATAGATGTGGACTTAAATTGTATCCTGAATGGTTTCAGTTCAAAGAGAAGAAGCTGAGGTATAGTAGAGAACAGAGACTGAAGTTTTAAGACTTGGATTCAAGTCCTAACTTTGAGGAGCTGTGTTACACAGGACTTGTTCCTTAGTTGTCCTGAGCCTGTTTTCTTATAGCTATAACCTAACAGTATAGATGAGGGAATTCCCTGGCAGTCCAATGGTTAGGACTCCGCACTCTCACTGCCGAGGGCTCGGGTTCAGTCCCTGGTTGGGAAACTAAGATCCCACAAGCCGAGCGGTGTGGCCAAGAAAACAGATAAAACACAAAGCAGTATTGATGAGAATGTGAGCAGAAGTGTTTTTGTGGACTTTCATAAGGTGGTATTAAGATACTAAGTGTTACTAAGAAGCATTGTTTTGTTTTCTTCTGCCTAGGTTCACCATAGTTCATTAGACCTACTTAAGTGTTTCAGTTCATAAGTGGCTGCGTATGAAATATTGAACATATATATACTACAGTCCTTGTGGATATAAATCATCATCAAATACATTTTTATACGATTATTGAAAAGAGTCAAACTGATGTGCTGCCTCTCATTTGCAGGTAGGGTTCTTTCACAGTCTACTCCCGGGACTCCATCAAAGACCATAACAATATCTGAAAGTGGTGTTATTGGATCAACTTTAAATTCTACAACACAGACACCAAATAAAATAGCCATCTCACCTTTGAAATCGCCAAATAAGGTAAAAAAGAAAATTAGCCACAAAGGCCAAGTATTGTGGTTAATGACTTTATTTTCTTACTAGTCACTTCAGATACATCAGTTTTAATATATTCCCAAAGAGTTAATAGGTATTTGGTGAATATCGGATTAATTTAGTAATCAAGGATGTACGACAGATAAAAAACTTACCCTGAACGCATAGTTACACAGTTATCATTTTGCATGCTAAGATTATTTTAATGGCCCTTGTGAATGTGGGTACAACATAAATCTTCTGAACGAGGTGCATTATGTAGGTGTTTGGTTCCTCTTCAGTTAATACTTGTGGAAAATTATTGTCTTTGGGTCAGTCACATATATAGTGACTCTATAAATATAAAATGTTAAATGTAACTTTTTAAAAAATAAAATATTTGGTGTCTTCTGCTTAAGCTGTCCCTGATTTTATGGAGAGCTGAGCTTTTGCTGAGTAACAGAGTATCCAGAGTACTAGAAATTGCCATCAAATGCTGGTGATCATATTAATTCGGATTTTTTAGGCTTAACACAACTCATTCAGAGCATCTGAAAGCTTGTCATAATTTATTTTCTTTTTAAGGGGGCAAAGTACCTATCATTTTAGGTCAAGTTAAGTAGTCTTAGCTCACTTTCCTAAAACATACAGATGTCATTATACCAGCATAACATTTTGGAACAAGTATGCTTTAAAGGACATATTCAGGTGGAAAGCCAAGCATCATTATTCTGTAAGGTGCCACCCTTGCAATTCTGGAAACACACTGCCCTTTGTACCTGCCTTTTTCCTTAATTTGCTACTATTCATGAGTAGAACAAACATTAAACATTTGCCTTACATTTTTAAAAAGTCTAACTGTTGGTTTCTGTTTTAATGAGACTTGACTATAGTGTATAAATATGATGTCTGTTACAGTTTATTAAAATGGGATTCTACCTGCATGATAATACAGATAATTATCTACTTAAATGGAATGAATTCAACAGATAGAGTGCTCACTATGTGCTCTGCATAGTGATAGGCACTGGGGATAAAAGCATGAATAAGATAAGTTTTAAATTTCAGGTAGTTCAGTAGGGAAGTTAGAGTTAAACATTAAGAATTGCCCTACAGAATCATAACGGTCACAGGTGGATTGAAGAGCCCTGTTGTGTCTGTCAGAGGAGGTTTATACAAAGGATGCTATTCCTGAAAGGTCTTAACCTTAAAGGTGGTTCAGGCCTTAGCTATGGGTGAGCATAGGAGGTTTCCAAATTGAGATAATACTTTACACAAAAGTGTAAAAGCGTGGCCCCGTGTAAAAGGGTAGTATAGGGAGCTACCTTGCTTTGGTAGTGTGAGAGGTGCTAAAGTTAGATGGAAGGTTTCGTTACCCTCAGGGGAGTTTGGATTTTATTGTTCTTAAAGACTTTCTGTGACTTCCCAGTGCTTCTAGGACAGTGGTTCTCAACCTTGTCTGCACGTTGGAATCACCTGGGGAGCTCTAATAAATACCAATGCCTGGTTCTTAACCCCGAAGACTGTTTTAATTGGCCTGGAGTTTGGCTTGGTATCAGGATTTTTTAAGGCTAAGTGATTCTAATGAGTAGCCTAGATTAAAAACAACTGCTCTAGGATAATATGAGATTTGCATTTCAAAAAAGATGACTCTGTAGCATAATGAAAGATAGTTTTGAGGAAGGTAAGCCTGGATTCTAGAAGAGACCAGTTAGGTTAGTTATTCTCAACCTTGGCTACACTTTGGAAGCACCTGGAGACCTCTCGAAAAAACTCACGGCTGACCTCCACCTGATCCCACTTAAATCAGTCTCTAGGCTGGGGTCTAAGTATTAGATTTAATATTTAAAAATTTTAAAGTATAGGCCAGGGTAGAGAATCACTAAATTATAGAGTATTTTAGTACTTCACATTTGAGCTAGACTAGTAGCTAAGGGGCTGCTGTCCTCTGAGTCCTTGCTCTGCTGTTTTGAAGCTCCATCCAACCTCTTGCTTTCAGAATTCTCCAGGCTGGGACCAGTTTCTGTGTTCACATATGGCCTAAACTCCTGGGGATATGTCAGGTTCTTTTGGGCTTTTAAGAGTTTCTTTATCTCAGTATGTTGCCAGCCAAAGATTCAGATGTCAATTTCCCTTCTTGTAGTTATCACCCAGTCTGTCCCAGAGGTTTTCTTGGAGAACCCCTGCTTTTGTTCTCACTAAGGTTGTAAAGCCCTAGCATTCTCTATGTTTATGAATTCACTTCTGTTTCTAATCTTGTTTTGTTTTGTTTCATTTTCAATAGGCGGAAGGTGGATGATAGAGATGCTGTCTTTTAGCAACTCTGGCATGGATGTTTTGTTCTTTTTAGAGTGTAGAGGAGTTTATCATTTGTAGTTCTCAGCTTTGGGGGTTTCACCAGAGCCAAATTTTAAGATCGGAGAAAACATCCCATTATCCTTTTATACTAGAGAGGAAATACAGAAGGAATGGGTGGTTTAGGTAAAGAGATATTGTTTAGTTCTTGGAGATGTTTGTCATGGAAGTACCCACTGCTTGTCTAGAGGAGGATGTCCGTTAGGAAGCTGAATATAGGCAGTGGCTAAAACTATGTGTACAGGTGAACCTAACCAGGGAGCATGAGGTTGTGTGCAGAGTGAAAAGAAAAGCAGTACTGAACCACAGAATATTAAGAGTTAGTAGAAGAAAAGAACCAATGGAAGAGAAGGAATGATAAGAGAGGAAGTATGAGAAACTTAACAAAATGAGAAGGGAGGATGGTTTCAAGAATGATGCTGGTCAACAATTTCAAATGTCATAGAAATGTCAATTAAGAAAAAGACTAAAAAGTAAGGATTTGCTGGAGATGTCCTTGCTCCCATTAATCAAAAGTGGTCAAAAGGAAACCTCAAGCACCCATTCTTCCTTCCCTGCCAGCACTCACAGTCTGACCACCATCTGCCTTGAATCTGCTGGGACTTCTCTCATTATTTGTTCCTGTTTATACAGGGTGCCATCAAAAGGCCCAGACTCCTAGATTACCTTTCATTTCCCACATCTAATCTCCTTGAAGTTGTCAGTATCTTCTGTCCCGTTACCCACCACCCATCCCCAACTCGTAAAATCCTTCGACTGTGCCCTATTTGGAGTTCATAAGCAAAATAATCCCCCAGTCCTCAACCTCTTTGCTGAATATTCTTCTTATTTTCTTACTCTAATGGATACCTGACTCTTCCCAATGGTACTGCTTCCCCTGCAGATCTCTTAAGTGATGACTCTCCTTCAGCCCGTTATACCATCGAGCCTGGAAGGGGGCCTAGGGAATAAGTGTCTTCCTGGCTTGTTCTCATTACAATTTGCAGACTATGCTCACTCTCTTCTCCATCTTTGAAACTAATGTTAACCAGGTTCCTTGTGGAAAGTCGGGCACGTTTAATGTTTTCTCACTTTACTTGATACTGTAGTTGTCTTTGGGGGCAGATTTCTTCCATTATATTTATTTTCTAAAGTAATCCTCAGTTTTCTTAAGTATTTATTAGACATGCAAATAAGCATTAAGCTAATGAAAGCATGATTCTGCAAGGTTTGCTTTCTTTTTACTTTAGATTTTAGTAATACTGTTATCTTCTAGTTTCGGACATTTAATGTGTCTTTTGTCCTATAATCTTATTGTTGCCTTTTAGTATTTTTTTTTCATGGCATATTTTAGTTTATTTCAGAAGTACAATGGTTTGACATTAAAAAAAAATCTATCCATTTAATTCACAACATTAATAAGAAAAAATAATTATATGACAATCTCAATACATGCAGAAAAATTCTGAAAATAGCCAGCCTTTATTCTGGTTAAAACTACTTGAAACAGTACAAATAAATACTTTTTAACTTGAAAATGAGGATGAATACATCAAACTTCATGTAATGGTGAATGTTGAACAAAGATACCCACTTTCAACACTTGTTCAGTTCCACTGCAGCTCTGAGTTAATGCAGTAAGGCAAGAAAAAGAAATAAATAGCGTAGAGCTTCAAAAGAAAGTAAAAGTTTGTCACAGTTTACATATTACATTATAATATATGTGTAAAATATAAGAATCTGCTATTGGACTATTAGAATTAATGTATAAATTTAATTGATGGTTATACATGCGGTCAGTATAAAAAAAGATGATTAGATATGTGGTCAGTATAAAAAAATCAATATTTATAGACTTTTACACTTAATAAAGTTTTGTTATGATCGATTTTAAATCTTCCATCTTTTTTTTTACATCTTTATTGGAGTATAATTGCTTTACAATGGTGTGTTAGTTTCTGCTTTATAACAAAGTGAATCAGTTATACATATACATATGTTTCCATATCTCCTCCCTCTTGCATCTCCCTCCCTTGGGAGATATACAGTGTATATATATATATATATATATATATATATATATCAGTTATACATACACATATGTTCCCACATCTCCCTCCCCCTTGCGTCTCCCTCCCTATCCAACCCATCCAGGTGGTCACAAAGCACCGAGCTGATCTCCCTGTGCTGTGCGGCTGCTTCCCACTAGCTATCTGTTTTACGTTTGGTAGTGTATATATGTCCATGTCACTCTCTCACTTTGTCACAGCTTACCCTTCCCCCGCCCTATATCCTCGTCTATTCTCCAGTAGGTCTGTGTCTTTATTCCCGTCTTACCCCTAGGTTCTTCATGACATTTTTTTTCTTATATTCCATATATATATGTGTTAGCATACAGTATTTTTCTTTCTCTTTCTGACTTACTTCACTCTGTATGACAGACTCGAGGTCTATCCACCTCACTACAAATAACTCAATTTCGTTTCTGTTTATGGCTGAGTAATATTCCATTGTATATATTTGCCACATCTTCTTTATCCATTCATCCGATAATGGACACTTAGGTTGTTTCCATCTCCTGCCTATTGTAAATAGAGCTGGAATGAACATTTTGGTACATGACTCTTTTTGAATTATGGTTTTCTCACAGTATAGTCCCAGTAGTGGGATTG